ATCCGGAAGAATGAGCGGGATAGAAAGCGGAAATTAAAATCTTTTCGGCGCGAAGAACGCGATTAACGCGAATCCGAACGACGAGGGCGCCGATGACGAGCGGATGTCCGCGAACTGACGTTCGCCACGATAGCGGCAACCCCGTGAAAGTTCACTCAGCCCAAATCCCTTCCCCCCTCCCCCCAACTCGGCAAAAAAAATCTCTACTCAAGTGGAAGAGCTGAAGGTTTTTGGGCTGGCGATGTTCGAAAGATGTTATAAACAACTGCTGATGAATGAGCTATTTATTCGTTCCACGCGTTTTCGCGCGGCGGGGAGGCGGCAACGGTGTTGGAATACGCTGTCGGGAAACTCGGCCGCTCGCGGAACACCGCTACACGACGAATTAATCGTTCTCCGTCCCTTCTTTTTTTTCCTCCGTCACGCGCGGGGTAAACTTCGCTGCAGTAAGCAGCGGCATGCAACGACGGTCGGAAGTTTTGCATACTCAAACCCTTTAAAACTCTGATATCTCGCCAAAATTTCTTGCCCGTGAGAGTTCGCGAGTTATTCCCGTTTCTTCGGTATAACTACGCAATATTCCGCTTTACGGCGGAATACTATGCGCTTTATGGTGTTCGTTGGATTATTGCGCGCCGGATTATTATAGCGTGCGTCATTGTAACGTATAATCTGTATTAAATAATTCTATTACGAAAATTTCTAAAATTGCGATTACACGTGACGGTTGGGCGATGTTATAATTCGCCACTTGTGTTTTTGCGATAGAATGTCGGGGCACGATATAAATATTATACCTTTGACTGACCGAATATGATTAGTTTCTGTTGTATTTGCGCGATTTGATATAATAGATCAGGTGTCGTGCGTTAATCGGGAAAGTAATGAAATCGAACGTTTCTTTTTAGAAATTGGCAGCACTGCAAGACCGAGACTGCATCGAGTCGAGGGCTACACCAGGAATCGTATGTGTTTCTCTTCAATTATATATTATTATTATATCATCGCTAGATTTATTCACACAATTTTCTCACTCATCTGTGCATCGGGACGAGCGAAATTGCACGCGGGAAAGACGCTCCTGAATCGATGGAATTTCCAACGCGCGTGATTGGAGCAAATCTTCTCGGTTCAATAGCAACGTCATCGAAACTAATACTTGAGTTATTCAAGCAATATTGGCGCGGCCGTGTTGACTGAGGTATTCTTTCGGACGTCTAACGAGCTCTTCTTTCCCGTTCTTCCTTAAAACCCGAACTGGCAACCTTCCTTTCACCGAGTCATACAATTTCATAGGAAAACGGCGAATTTTTTCGCACCGACCTGGACACTGCGAATCTATTCGGCAAGATTTCCGATCGCGGCCGCTCAATTGTTCCCTGAATTTCCTTCGCGTTTTGCAAGAGAAACGGAATTATATTCCGATGGGGAATCTTTCCAATTTCATAATACCTGATAGTCGAATCGAAATAATTCCGCTGACGGCGTTCGCAGCCCTCGCGAAATCGATTCCGGGATCGCCGCGCAACGCCGACTCGACGGCCGTGCCTCGGCGATTGCGCATTGACGTCGTTCACGGACGCGATTCGCAACCGGCTTTGTCACGAGCAGCCCGGTTCGTCGAGCTTGCGGCGGGTCTTGGCAAACCCGCGCGAAATTGATGAAAACATCGAACGACACATCCCCCGGCCGAGAGACACCGGTCTCGTGTGTGTTGCTACAGCGCGTTGCAGCTCAGCCGATATCGATTATTGCGATAAACCAACGTTGGATCACGATGGACTGGTCGGTCGGTCACTTTGTGCGCCGCCGGACTCGAATCGAAATTTTGATGCCGCTTTGACCCGCTTTTAAGGTTAGTTTACGCCTGCAGGGCTGCGTCCGGAAAGCATACTCGACGAGTAGAGTAACATAATTAACCAATTATGATAAAGAAATCTTTGCTCTTTTTGTCCTGATCGGTCAATTAAGTGCTACTCTACCCATCGAGTAGGATTTTGGAACGCAGGTGACTTAATGACCGATAAAGTTCTACACAGAGAAAGAAAAGGGAGGTTTTTTTTTTCTTTAAAATACGTGTTTGATTCTTGTTCTTGGGGTTTGTTTATTATTCGTTTATTAACCTTTCCCTCGTGATTCCACGCGAAAAAAATTACTGTCAATTCAAGATTCGTATTCTCATATGTAAACATGAATATATAATCTTTATATGAAGATAAAACTTACACACAACATGAAGAATATGATTAATTCCCTATAGTTTCACAAAAAAGCATCATATTTTTCATACTCAAGAATAATTTTCCTAAAATAAGAGGGGAAAATCTCGGATGGAATCAACGATATCTTCAAGCTAAGAATGGTGATATCGGTGAGGTCAAAGGTTTAATATATACGGCCAGAATTTCGACCGGGCGTTTTATCGCGGCTCGATGACGTATCGTATTGCCTCATTGCAAACCGGCATAATTACGCGAGCGTATAAATTTCGGTATCCGATGCGACGGTGGCTTCGCGACGCGAAGCGATGCGGCTGAATATAAACGTGTCGCGTTCGTCGGCTTCGATTGCAGTTGGAGGCCGCCGGATTTCAAAGCTGGCCCCCGACTGTATCGAGTGATGATTTGCTTTTGACTGTGCATGCACGTGTGGACGCGGTATCGCCAGCCGCTCGGGATCCCGTAATGCGTAATTCCGCGTTCGCATCCGTGACATTGAATCCATGACATTTCAGCGAGTCGAACCCGCGTCTGATGGCGTTACGGATGACGGTGGACGCTGAAAAATTCAACATGCTGATTGCTGTGGAGGTCATCGGTGGCAGGCATCGCGATCTCACCGCTCGTCTCATTGACTCTCGCGTGAAACGTGGCTAATTGTATCTAACGGATTACATTACGTGCTCCGGGAATGCTATTAAAACCAGCTAACGGATGTACCCATTAGGAGACATCTAAACGTGACGTATCTGTCAGGTGCACCAATTAAATCGATGCCCGTTTCCGGAAATATCGGGATTTATTTATACGAGAGTTTCGTCTTCGATTATCGAATTCATCTCCGTCATTCCCGATGACTTTAAACTCGTCTTTCGGGCGAATCCCTTCTCGGATAGAAACTAGGCGCTCTTCGAGTCGATGAAGTTGTCGAAGTTATTGACATTTTGATTTCCCCATCGTTGCGTCTGCCGAGTGACGCGATTGAAACAGATGGTAATCCGAAGAGTTCCCTCTAGGTTTTATTTTATTTTACTCCTTATTTGATCCCAGAAAAGTGTACCGCTCTTATTTACCAAAATAGCGCGTTCTTATTGTTTCGGTTTTTATTATAGTAAGTGAAAATCCACGTTTGGCGGATAAGAATGGAATTTCCCAATTAGAATATCACATTACGATAATCAATTTCGGAGCAAATTCGGACATTCTGTGAATCGGCATCTATGCTGCACATCTGGGAAAATCTTGGGAAATATCCACGCGGATTCCAGGCACGGGGGGAAATTATATTCGTAATATGCGTGAAATAATTCGACCCGCGTGTTTCGCTCGCGTAATGCGCGTGTCATGTGCGAGGTAATCGTGCGTCGAATTCTCTCGCCTCTTTATACGAAGCTAATGCGAGAGGCACGTCGATACCTCAGGGGTATTACAGCTACAAAGCGCACACAAAGCTGCGTCCGTGCGGCGCGTGTTGCCGAATTTTGATAATCGATCTCGACCGACGCTGCGTCCCCGACCATCCTGATATGCGAACATCAGCATGCTATTATATCAGCGAATTTCGCATAACGCGAGTGTCTAGCTGTGATAGACCGACGTGTTCCGACTAGTGCTGTCACTATAAACCGGGTATCCGGATATCTATCCCCGGTATTCGAGTACCATACCCGAAGTAACAGAGTAGGAGAGATCGAGGCAGGTTGGCGCGTTTTTCGGGATTTCGACGTCAGAACTGTTCGGACAGTTAACGACTATTGATGATAATTAGTGACGATTAAGGATGTATCGCCCGTAACTAATCGAAAGAATGAAAAAATTATGAATAAATTTATCTACGTTGCATTTGAGTGTGACGCCGATAGTTTGAAGATGACTCAGAAAGCATAGTTTAAAAGTGATTTTGGTTTAAAGGAAGTGTAAAGCGAAATGAGTTCGATAAGAATTCGATAAAACTTCCACCGCGTATACATTGAAATATTATTTAACTGCTCGCGGGAAAAGATTGACCGTTCGGGAACTAAAGTTGACACTTTTCACGCGTATTCTTTCAGATTAGCGTTTAATTTCTATTTTTAATATCTTCTAAACTAAAAATATCTAAGATGATCAAACTTATCTTAAGCGTGGGTCAATTTACCCCGTTCGTTATGTCCGACTTCAGTCATTTTACTGGTAAAAATTACGAGAAAAAAAATATGAAGAAACCACGAAGAGAAATTACGAAAATTTGCTCGACCGCTTTTGAATCTCCTCTTTCTCAACTACGATGTTCTTCTGATACGAAATGAAATTTAAAAATAGTATCCTGCGCCCTAAAAAGGACATTTCCCCGACCTCTTTCCCACTTATTTCTCCTGCGATAAAATATATAACGCAAGATAAATTTTTGAACTTACCGCGGGACACATATAACCCAACGGGATCGGAAAGGTTAAAAGGTCGAGGCGAGGACCGACGCGGCGAAACGAGATTATGCCGATCTTTTTTGCCGGGGCGAAGTCTCCGCGCGAATATGTCGTCGTCGCGTTATTTCGTTTCGCCACAAATAAATGTGTCCTTCTCCCATTGCGCGCGCTCCTCATTTAAATTTTTATTAAAAACGCGAGAGCGTTTGGTGTTGCCTCTTGTTTTTGCGACGTGTTTAAAACGTTAACTGCAATTTTGCGACGCGACGGGACGCGCGTGTATTAACAATGTAGATTAGCCGGGGCGCGCAACGATTCGTCGCGCAGAAAGCGCGACGCCGTAATTGAAGTGTTTGCTTTTTTAATTGCCGGCGAACGCTGCTACGCCGCCCGCCGGTATTTATAGTACTTAATTAAACGCGAAAAATCGCTACGGCAGCGGTAAGGATACGGTCGGTTGTTGTTTCGAATGCGCGAATTCGCGGGCATGAATCAGTCAAACAACATAAGTGCGCGCAGCGTAATACACGCGACAGTGCTTAATAATACAACGTCGAGATATAGAGATGGAACGAAGGGAGGGAGAGGCAAAAGAGAAGCTCGCTATCGTGAATATCCATATATGTGATAAATAATTTTATCACATTTACAACGATGGCTAAATTAATCGGGATCAAAGTTCCGCGCTAAAAGGATATCGTCATCGCGTTTTATCGTCGTTCGAATGGACGACGGTGAAAAGTATCGAGCGCAACTTGGTGTAATCGTACTTTTACGTGAAATAAGCGGGGTTAACGAACGACGCCGATCGGGTGAAAAGCGAGATGACGATATCGGCCGTGTGCAGCGGCGGTCTTTCTTTTACCGAGAGTGCTTTAATTCAAGAGGCGCCGCGGTTTCCGCGCGCGTTTTATACGTAATCTAACATTCTCCCGTTCCCCTTGCCTCCCCTTCCCCTCCTCCTCTGGTTTCTCCGCCAACTCATTCCGCAACTTCCCAGTTACACGCGCCAAGATGGGCGGAATGTTACCGCGCGGTTTACGCTTAATGCGCCTTGTTTCTTGCGAGAGGGAATCCGGCATCGCTCGCGTTTCTGTTTATGTGTGTGTGTGTGCGGGACGGGTAAGTCTATCTATTACTTCACAATTAGCACGCAGACAGCGAAAACGAGACGTCGAAATATACATCGCCGGCGCCGCCTGCCGCGAGCGTGAATGTTAATCCTTAAGCGGTTCGCTTCTCGCGGACTCCGCTGCATTGATTATTACGGCGGAAGCGGTTTTCGAAGCGCGAAAGCCATCAGTCGGAGAAGGAAACGAGAGGAGGAATTACTTATCGGGT